CCAAGATTTCTCTTGAAAAATTAATTTTGTGATATGAAATAATTCCATTAAAAAATTATTCGTATGAAAAATCAATTTTGTGATTAGTGCTACCCAAACCACTACTACTACTATTTACACCATAGACTTCTATGCATACTTTTTCCCGCGAGTTTTAATAGAATTTGTTGCCAATAAACATCAGTGGCGTAATAATAAACACAATGACGTAGCCAACGTAACTGCACCCGGGCCGCGACACTATATTGGCGCCCCTCCCCCTCCAGAAACAAATTTTGTTATTCTTGGAAACCATTAGGCTCCCCTCTGCCAGTGGCGCCCGGGGCAAGCTGCCCCACCCTCTGCTGAGAGGTTTTCTTCGTTTTTGGGCGATAGGAAATTCGGAAGTTCCTCAAGGACAGGCAGTCTCAAAGGATTAACCCATGGTGTATAGCAGCCTTTAGTCTCTCACTTGCCCTCTGGGCTATTTCTAATCCTTTGTCTCCTAATTAGGTCACCGACCACCCACACTTGGACGAAAGTTCCAGAAAGTATAGACAAAGGAACACGGAACAAAGAAAGAAGGAAAGATAGAGAATCATATATATACATATATATAAAAATATAACAAAAAATGTATTGGTGTACCACCACAAGGTCATGGATGTAGAAGTCAAATTCTATTAGAACCATGGAATTTGACTTCTGAATTGTTATTCTGGAAATGCCTGAGACTCCAAACATTTGGTGTTTGATCCTATTGATTCGGCAATTATTATGAATTGGAAATATGCTGTATATTTTTTGTTAAATAACGTCAGAAACATTATGTCTGAACCCTTAGAGAACCAAACGTAGCAAATTTGCTATTTTAGTCAGATTCAAGTTGTTGCAGTATGTAAACAGGCTTATAAACACGTTTAAAATACTGTATACACAATTCATTAAAATTATGAAGTATTATTAAACTTGATGATGATGGATACTGTTGTAACTCGATCTTGACGTCTAGTCAAAGGTGGAAATTCCAACATACGTTTATCTGAGAAAGTCTTTGTGTAGTCGTCACCCCAGTCTGATGTATCCGAGAGTGAATAAAGTTAATTGTTAATTAACTACGTCTTTTTATGTGAAACGGTGTCAAAAACAAAATCGATATAAAAGATACATTTCTTTCTATAACGTTTGATGTTTGCCATTAACCAGATTAGTCTTCTCTAACATATTGAGTATTGTTCGGCTTTTTATAGCCTTATTTTCAGTGTCTTTAAGTCTTCTTTTATTTTATTCATAATTCCACCTTTAGTTTTTTATGTTTGTATCTATCATTATAAACACATTTTTTATATATTAGAAAGTATTTCTAGCCATCATGCTGTGAAATTAGCACATCCCAAGAACAATTACAGTAACTTCGAGTAGAAGAGCATTTGTACAGTTTTTATGTATCTTTTCATTCTTGTTAGATAAAAAAGTTTTCAGTAAATAAACTAATAATTCTAAAAGCTTTATTATATTATAATTTAGTAAATTTTATTATTATTCTTTATTGCATAATGAATATGGAATTTGTATTTTGTTCGCATCTATAAAAAATTTAACATGTGAGATTGTAATAAGCACGTGGTGAGGGTTGATTTTATACAAAAAGACAGGTATATAAAATAAATAAGACGTGCTTTATTTTTGTGAACTTATATAGGAAAGGTTCTTGTTGATTCCGACCTCCTGATTCCTTACTTCAAACAAAAGAACAAACAACACCTATTTCGATTCACAGTCGAGCAAGAACTTTCGCGATACAGAGATACTTAATTTCTAACTTAAACCTACTTATATCTAAAAAAGAAAAGGAAAAAGAAAAAGAAAGTTAGATTAGAAGAGAGAAACAGATATATATTTTTAGGAAGGAAAGGGTACCCGAGTTGGTGATTGAGGTGGCGGCTGCTGGATGAAGTCATCCAGCAGCCGTCACCTCAATCACCAACTCGGGTATCAACTCAATCACCAACTTCGTCTTGGGATTTTTCCTTTTGGGGACGGATCGCATGCGAGAATCGATAAAAAATGTCTTTTATCTTTGGCTTACCAATGTCCTTATCAACGCTACTTCTTTCTTACGTGCTCTTCGTGACTCTTTCAGTCGAAGCAACACCGACCTGGAGACCTCTCTCCGACGGTCTTCCCTCTTCTAGGTCCAAAGCCAAAAGTACTCACTTAGTCTCTCACTTGCCCTCTGGGCTATTTCTAATCCTTTGTCTCCTAATTAGGTCACCGACCACCCACACTTGGACGAAAGTTCCAGAAAGTATAGACAAAGGAACACAGAACAAAGAAAGAAGGAAAGATAGAAAATCATATATATACATATATATAAAAATATAACAAAAAA